AGCAGGAGTGCGCTGGAGGGTGGTGAGCGACTTCTCTGGAAGAGCAGCGGGCAGAGCCCAGCACACACAGAGACACGCTGGGTTGAGCCCACTTGGCCCCTGTGTCCATCCCAAAGGGCACCAGCAGAGACCGGGCCTCTTGCTGCCCCCTGTGGCCACAGCTGGCTCCCATTCCACCCACAGTTTGTTTTCTCTTCCCCAGGGGTGAAGCGCCGCCTCTTTCTAGCCAGACACAGGAGGGCGAGCTGAAGGGAAAAGCCCCGAGATCCCACTGCTGACACCATGGCCTCAGAAGCTGGCAACGTCGACCCAGGTAGTCAGCGCCCTCTTCCCTGGATGGTTCATACTCATGACCCAGAACTGAGGGTGGCGCCTCCAGGCTGAGTGTATCCACACAGGAACAGGAACCTGCAAGGGGGCTGATGAGGGTCCTGGAGCCCCCAGTGGGGGCCAAGGGGAGCTCCCTCATGTCAGAGTCGATGGGAGGGGTCCCATTCCTGGTTCTCTCCTCACAGTGCTGACTGCCTCTCTTCCCCCTACTCTCATGCAATGACAAAGAAGAGGCCAGCACAGCCCACAGGCAGTTAGGAGTCTCTGGGCCCCTCTACCTGGAACCTGCTAGTTCCAGATGAAGACCTTCCCTGTCTGCTGCACCTCCACCTGTGCAGCTGTGTTAGGGCCTGCCCCGAGCTCCCAATTATAAACACCTGCTCTCACGCAGGAACTGTTTATATGGATCAAAAATGAATCGCAAAGGTCAGCTTTGTTATCTGTCCCCCTTGCCCCACCATCAGTACATACACAGTTGAGTGTTCTGGTTCCCTCCTTCTAGACCTGGGTTCCTTTCTCCCTTACATGAACCAAGGGGAAAGAACAAACAGCCCTCCACCCACCCAAATCAGGGATGCATTGCCTTGGCAACCAAACCACCCTCCCAGGAGGGTCCCAGGAGAAAAATTTCTTGTTGATGCTGCAGGACAAGGGAGGGGAGGACAGATCAGAAGCCAGGAGCTCCTGAGCGGGCTCCGGGACCCCTGAGGGAGGACTAGAGCTGACGGATCCCTGAGGATAAACAAGATGACCTCCTGCTGAAGAAATCAGGAAGGGTGAGGTCACAGGTGCCAATGGGGGAGCTGTGTCCCCTGTGACCCGCCTGGAGGGACAGAGGTGATATTTATTGATCACAGCATTAGAGCTGAGGTCTAAACCCCTACTTCCCTGGTGACCCCCTTCCAGCCCTGACCCGTGTGGTCAGTGGGTTGGGAGTCATCTCAAAAGTGAAAGGTCACAGGTTGAATTCCCTGTCAGGGCACATGTGTGGGTTGTGGAATCGGTCCTTCGTCCCCTTGTGAGCGAGAGGCATCCAATTATTTTCTGAGAAAAACATTAATCTCCTTCTCCCTCCCTTCTACTCTCTCTAAACATAAAAAAAGAAAATCTCAGAAAGAAAAAGACACCCCCTCCACTGGCCATCTTGGGGATTCTGTGAGCAGCAGGAGGAATCCTGTTAGCAGGGCAGTTTTACTGAAATCAGTGGTGTGTGGTCCGAAACATTTTTAAATTAAAAAATAAACACCCAGAGGTAGACTACAGCATAGAATGAAGAACAAGTCACATGAATTTTCAAACATAAGGAGGCAGTAAATTAATGTAGAGTGATGTCTGACACTGGGCTCCCATTCAACCTCTGAGCTCTCCGCCTGCTGGCGTTGGGCCGTCATTACCCTGTCCGAGTTTCACTTTCCTTTTCCTGGAACAAGAATAATGTGTCTAGTGGGTATTAGCAGGAAACACGTTTCCCCTCCCGTCTCTGCACACACATTGCACACACTAGTCCCCCACCCCTCAGTGGCCACTCCACAGCCTCCAAATCCCTGAGAGCCACACGTTTGTGGCAGCTCAGCTGGGCAGTCATCTTGCTCTGTGCTGACGTGAGACTCTTCACAGTCGGTACAGGGTCTGCCCCATTTCAGGTGAATACACTTGTTTTACTGTAGCAGCAGGAGTGCAGTTGTTACTGGGTGTTGCCCAGGCCCTTGCTGGAGGCGGAGGTCATACAGCACGTATGCCCTGCACTCTCTTTCTGAAAGACCAACAAGTCTGAATTCCCAGACACACCGACATCCCAGGATCAGATATTTAATCCCTGAGGCTGGAAGTTCCAGATCCCAGGGCTGGCAGGGCTGTTTGCTAGGCAGATCCCTCTTCCTGGTTTGCAGATGGCGGTGTTCCTGCTCTGTCCGCACATGCTCTATGCTTTCCCTGTGTGCACGGGGTGCAGGGGCGGAGGGGGAGAGGGAGGGATATATCCGGTGTCTTCCCGTAAGCACACCAGTCACATTGGTTTAGGGTCCCACACATGTGACCTCATTTAACCTTAACTGTCTCCTCAAAGGTAATTTCAAAACAGAGGCACATGATGGGGAGGTCCAGGTTTGAACATAAGGATTTTGGGGACCTGGTTCAGGCCATAACACCACGGGAGCCGCCAAAAGGACCTTAGTGACAGCCGCTCAGAAAGGTTAACATTCACCCACCTGATTTATACTCAATACCATTCATATTCTGCAATGATTTCTTCTCACCTTATTCTTTTTTCTTTCCATCCAGAGAGTGAAGGCTTTCTCCCTGCCATTGGGTTCTTAGAGGACCCAATGGACATAGAGAATCTGCAACATATGCTGAGTGGTGAAGCCTGGGAGAGATTTGTGGCTGCGGCGAAATTGCCCAGGTAACCTCCAGGAGACACCTGTATTGTCGCCAGATCTTCCCCTGATCTAGCTGACTCTGCCAAACACACCTCCAGGCAGGGCCCTGTGGTTGGGGTTGAATGCATTTCTTCTCAACAATCCATGAGGAAGGCTTTCTTCTAATCATTCGTAGGCAGTGAATGACCTCAGGTTGAAGAGAGACAAAACTTGCAGGGGAAGGTTTCTTAATGACTTGCTGTCTTATTCCTCTGTTCAATTTTATTTAGAGGAGAAGATAATGCATGTGAACTGTATAGCCTAATGACTGAAACATAGTAGGTGCTCAGTTAACATGAACTTTTCAAAAGATCGTTGGGAAAACACAGGGGCCAAGGGTCTTCCTCCTGGAGATGGGAGGCAAGCAGGACTTGCTTGGGGACGAGCCTGCTGCACCCTGGTACATGTGGAGTCTCTGGGGTTTGGCTCGGGGGGCTGTCCCTCCCTCAAGGAGGACTCGGACACACACTGCAGGGCCTGCTGGCCCAGAAGGCGGAGAGGCTGGATGGAGCCGGGCCGAGCTGGTTGAATCCTGACTCTGTGTCTGCCCAGCTCTGGGGCTCTGTGCTTCTGTCTCAGAGTCTCTGATTTGTCATCTCTCTGTTCAGTGGGAACAGCAGGTCATGTGATAGGGTGTGGTGGTGAAGGCCATAGGGTGCACTGCAGGGTGAAGTGTGAGGGAGCTAGTGCAGTCATCCTGTCCCGGGGCCGAGACAGGCCTGCACCAGGCTTAGAGCCAGGGGTGAAGATGGAGCAGGGCTGGGTCCAAGATGGAGGACCAGGAGGAAGACCCAGCAGTGGGGCTGGGACTGAGGCTCATCAGGCACAAACTGGAGAGGCCAGGGCCCTAGTGGTGGTCCTGTGTGGGGGAGGGGACATTTCTTCCTTCCCTGATTCAATCTCCTCACTGCTGGGAGTAGCGGGTATGGGAGACCCTGTCCTCCACACTCTGCCTGGGAGCTGGGGTCCTGTCTGCCATTTGGGACCCTCTTCCATTCTGTGTCGTGTCATCCCTGACCAGGGAGAAGGCAGGTTGTGTGGCTCATGACAGACTCCAACATCAGAATGGGTGGCTGTGGCTTTTGTGTAACTTGGGGGATTCCAATGCACCCCCTCAGCCCTCTGAGTCTGAGGAAAGCGCTTCCTGCCCCACTGGTCCTGATGCAGGTGTCAGGCCCAGCGATTCATGCACATGGTTGGCAAAGTGGCCCGTGTCTCTAGGAGGTTCCATGAACTTGGACATGGCTTTGATGCCCACACAAGGGAAGCTGTCACCAGCTAATGTGTGAGTTAGGCTGTTGACAGCTGAGAGGTTGGGGGTGCTAGATGGGGGCCTGGAGAAACCATGGAACCAAGGTTTGTAGGAGATCCCCTGCTTCCCTGTGAACTGGGGCTATGCCTGGATCCACTGACCTTCGTTTGGGGAGGTCAAAGGGCATCAGTCTTGGCAGAGAGCAGATGCCACCCAAAATGACCATTAGTGTGATTAATTGAAAGTGTCCACAATTGCCACAATGCAAAAGTGAGGGCACAGTCACCAGTGCTGCCCTTGCTTTTGACACCCACTCAGAGTACCCACTCAAAGCTGTCACACCCACGGTTACAATTTGTGACAGGGAAGGACACAGGTCACAGTCAGCCACAGGAGAGAAGCCTGAGGCAGAGTCAGGGAGGGTGTGAAATGTGAAGCCTCCATTGTCCCCAGGACACCTCACTGTCCCCATTCAGCTGTGACAATGCCCACGAAGCATTGCCAGCCAGGGGAGCTCACCCTGGAAAAGAAAACTCTTCCGACCCTTGTTAAGATGGAAGGAAGCTCTCACCCAGGCTGACGGCAGCACCTGTCCCAACTCTCACAACAGAGAGGAGAGACGGGGCTCCACTCTGAATGCAGCAGAGACCCCTTGGGGGTTAGAGCCAAAGAACAGACTGGGGGGACGGTGGGTGGGACATGAGTGAGAGGGGGTGTCATAGGGCATGGGGACTCTTACTAAGCTCACCTAACAGGGTCCTTGCTACAGGCAGGTCAGGGACTGAGGCTGCAGAGTGGGGGAAGAAGGATTGATCAGCTGTCACAGCACGTCTGTCATCACAGTTGGGAGACTCTCCCTGACCTGACTCATCAGGATTCTTGCTAGGACTGGAAGATACAGGCTGTCAAGGATAGAACATGGAAGGCCAAGGTCAAGGCCTAGTTGAGAAGAGGGCTCAGAAAAGCCTGAGGTGCATGGGGAAAAGAGTCTCTCTCACCCCGAGCTTCGGTGCACAGAGGGCTCCTGGGGTGGATCACATGCTGCCCACATGGCTGACCTGTAGTGTCAAGCCCCTCCTGGATGTCTAATGATTGTCTTTACTTTCTAGTTCCTTCTTAGACCAGAACTGATACCACGGGACCCCAAACCTCCATCATATGTTACCCTGTCAGACTGTCTAGTGGCCACAATGTCAGGCTCCTATCAGTCAGGACATTCTAGGGACCCAGAGCGCACATCCCAGTGTTTAAGGCAAAGGGAAGGCCTCTCAGTGGTCAGGTTCCGTCTGCACCCCAGTCTAGGATTCTGTGAGT